TTCAGCTTTTTTTTCTTCGGCTGCAGCAATTTTTTCCAGCAATAATAATTTACGCTCATAATAACTGGCCTTAATTTTTGTTTTTTTTTGGCTTATAGCATCAAATGATTTTGTAGCAGCAACTGTATTTTGTAAATTGGTTAATTTACAATTTGTCTTAACTTTATATGCATTTCTGTGAACAAATGAATTGTAGTGCGGCCAGCGAAACTAGGCGGGTGACCGTCGCGCGCCTGGTGGTAAATTTCCGTCAGTGTTTCCAAGACTACATTCCCGCGTAAAATAATTTTAAAAGCTTCGGAATTGTAATAAAAACTAAACATACGATATTTCTGTACGTAAAACTCATTATTTTTAATTATCACATTCTCTAACAAGTAAATAATATAATAGTAAAACATAATATTAATATTTTAATTTTTTACGCAATTATATATGTATGTACATTTAAAAACTAATAACTAAGTAATGCAATTTAAAACTACTATAATGATATTTACATAAAAATTATTTTTCAGAATCAAAATAATCTAGTCCTCATTATCTTCATCTTCACTTGAACTGCCTTCGTCCGGATTAATGGTCAATATTATCGGTTCTTATATCTCATCCCTTAGTCCCGCCTTGACATAGTCCTCCTCCTGAATCTTGACGCAATGTTCTCCACATTTTGCCCAATCGTCCGGAGTAACTGCATCGATTTCTTTATGAACAAGTGTCTCGACATCTGCAATTTTGAATGTTGAATTTTTTTCAGCCACTCTGCCTTTAACTTGGGCCCATATTAGTTCTATTGGATTATACTGACAGTGGTAAGGGAGAAGCCTTACCACTTCATGACCCATTTGGAAAGTTAGTTCATCCAGTTTATATTTTTTCCGCGTGGCATCGAAAGTTTCACTTTTTCCCGTAACTCGTCTAGTGTTTCTACGGGAGAAAAATCTATACGAAGGGCAGAGGATCGCAGACTAACACATTATGAAAAAAACTGTTTCAGTACACAATTTCATTTCAATAAAATAACAATAAGTACAATAAGGTCAATGGAATGCGGTCGCCAGTGCAGATGGCCAGTTTGAATAGAAAAACGCCGCGCTAAACGGTTACCCTCACCCTCACCAGTTTGTAGTACGACATATTATTATGTCTATGGATGCGCCTTATACGATAATAAAATATTTGTGTTGTAAGGTAACTCAACATTTTTCATAAAACAGCTAAAACACAACTGCTCAAGCTATGCAGCTGTTATGCATTTAATAAGCAATACTTTTAGAACCCCTGGTTTGCATGATAACAGCCACCTGGCGCGCGACGGTCACCCGCCTAGTTTCGCTGGCCGCACTATAGGCAATTTATGTATACATTTAATATTTAACATATATTTTTGAACATGTAAGATCATTGTATTCCAAATTGTTGCATATTCAGCATTTACATTGTATACTAAACGTTTATATTAATAATAATAATCATAAGTATCATATTACGATCGGTGGGGATTGTCCATCGGTCATTAGCGAGTAGACAATTTTATATGTACGTCAGTTCGTTTTATACTTTTCACAATAAAAGACTATAATATACGTTTGTGTTATTATTCATATTAACAATACACAACAAATTGGCGACGAAGATAAAAAATTTTAAACTCATCTCATATTAAATTAAAATATTTATAAAATGGGTGAGGATAACAAAAATATTACTCAATTCCATAATATAATAGGTTCACCAGGAACATTTGAATCTGGAAACGACATAACAATATTTGAATCAAGACTTACAAATTTTTTCATTGCAAACGGAATAAGTAACGAAGTCCAGAAGAGAGCTGTACTACTATCTTCAATTAGTGAGGAAGTTCACAAAATATTATTCAGTTTATGCGTTCCAGCCAAACCAGACGTTCAGACATACGACACACTATTAGGTTTGTTAAACAATTATTACAAGCCAGTGAAATCGTACTTCGCATCAAGATATGCATTCTACAACGCAAAGCAGAGACCAGACGAAACTGTAACTGAATGGGGAGCAAGAGTAAAGAATCTAGCATCAAAATGTAATTTTTCAACGGAATTACAAATTGTAATCCGTGACATTTTTGTTGTTGGTATGAACGCGGGACCAATTCAAGATCGATTACTAGAGGAAGATGCCTCAAAAATAAGCATCACATATTCGCACCTTATGGAAATTTCTGCTGCAAAAGAATCTACAATCAACAATAAAACCGGATGGATAAAGGAAGAAGCTGACTTCAAATATCAAAAACAAAGTCAGAAAGCAAAATCAGCCAAGCAGTCAATCACGGAAAAATCAAAATGTGGAACATGCGGTCGATCAAACCACACACAAAAAGAATGCCGATACAAGGACTACAGTTGTAATATTTGCAATATCAAAGGTCATTTGGCTCCTATGTGTAAAAGTAAGAACAATAAACCAAAGTATGATAACCGCTCACACAATAAATTTTTATCCGAAAATTCTGGTAATAACACGATTGAAAATATTCATGATGACGCAATCGCGTACAATTTATCCGACACTCTTTTTAATATGATTGAAAATAACTTTCAAAATAAAGTAAAACCGTACATTATCAATTTATTAATTGAAAATAAAGATTTAAAATTTGAAATAGATACGGGGGCTGTGCATAGTGTAATGTCAAAACAATTATATGATACAAGTTTTAATAATTTAACTTTATTACCAAACGATATTTCACTAAGCGATTACGTCGGAAATGATATAAGCCCAATAGGAAAATTAATAGTAAATGCTAAATATTTGAAAAAGTCTTTTAAAATGTGCATTTACGTAATACAAAACGGAGGACCGCCATTAATTGGTAGAAATGATTTAAAAATAATAAACTATTCTCCCATTTATAACACTATAAATGTAAACGAAAATATAGAGAATATATTAAAAAATTTCGAGCATTTATTCAAAAATGAATTCGGCACCTTTAATAAACACCAAATATCGCTAAACATTAAAAAGGGGGCAATACCCAAGTTTTTCAATCCAAGGTCAATTCCTTTAGCACTAAAATCTAAGGTAGAGTCGGAAATTGATCGTTTAATAGATAATAATATTTTAACTCCCGTGAACTACAGCGAATGGGCCACTCCAATTGTTCCAATTCTTAAGCCCGACGGTACAGTTAGAATTTGTGGAGATTTCAAAATAACAATCAATCCCGTATTGGAAGGAACTGAGTATCCCTTACAAAAAATAGAACATCTATATGCGAATATAAGTGGCTCAAAATATTTTTCTAAAATAGATCTCAATGATGCATGTCAACAAATGGTAATTAAAGAGAGTGATCGCAAAAACAATACAATAAATACTCACAAAGGCCTATTCAGTTATACTCGAAATCCGTTCGGAATAAAAAGCTCAGCTGGGGAATTCCAAAAAGCCATGGAAATATCAACCACGGGCTTAGAAGGGATTGGTATATTTCAAGACGACATAATAGTTGCGGGAAAAACGGTCGAAGAACACAATAATAGATTAAAAAAATTACTTAACGTTTTATCCGAAGTTGGTTTAAGGGTTAAACAAAACAAATGTAGTTTTCTCAAAAATTCAATTGAATATTTAGGTCATAAAATCGATGAGCATGGCTTGCACACCTTAACTAAACACATAAATGCAATACAATCTGCCCTGGTTCCAGAAAATAAAACTATGTTAAAATCATTTTTAGGTTTAGTAACATATTACATTAAATTTGTTACAAGAGCAGCGGACATTCTTAAACCGTTATACTCATTACTAAGACAAGAAAAAAAATGGCTATGGTCACCAGAATGTGATCAAGCATATAATAACATAAAAAAAATGCTTATCTCAAGTCCTGTGTTAGCACATTATGACCAAAAACTTCCCATAAAACTCACGGTCGATTCTTCGTCATACGCACTAGGTGCAATCATATCGCACACTTATCCTGACCACTCAGAAAGACCAATTGCATATGCATCACGAGTATTGTCAAACAGTGAATGCAAATTTCCACAAATCGAAAAAGAAGGTCTAGCCATAATTTTTGGTGTTCAAAAATTGTACGATTATTTATACGGTTTTTATACGGTAGAAAATTTACATTAGTTACTGATCACAAACCGTTAATCCACATATTTGGAGAAAAAAAGGAATACCAATTTATGCGGCAAATCGCTTACAACGTTGGGCATACGTTCTTTCTTCATTCGATTTTGAAATTAAGTATATTAAATCAGAAGGAAATACTGCTGATTTTTTATCACGCATTAAAACAAACCAATGCAACAATAATATTAATGAATATGACGACGCTCACATCAATTTTATTCACGAACAGTCACCATTTCCGCTAGATTGGCACAAAATTAAAATTGAAACGAAAAGAGATCCAATTACCTCTAGAGTATTACACGCTACAAAAACAGGTTCATGGAGTAATGACTTTTCAATAAATTCCGAATTAAACTCGTATAATACACGCAAAACAGAAATTACTGTTGAACAAGATTGTTTATTTTGGGGCTATAGAGTAATCATACCAACCAAATTCCGTAAGTCAATTCTAACTGAACTGCATTCTTGTCATATTGGCATGTCGAGTATGAAAAGCATTGCGCGTTCGTATTTCTGGTGGCCTAGTATAGATAAAGAAATTGAGAATATGGTCCGAAACTGCAATGAATGCATAAATGCGAGACCTAATCCTCCTAAGTCAGTACTAACTCCGTGGAAATGGCCACAAAGACAATGGACAAGAGTGCATTGCAATTTCTAGAGTGAAAAAACTTTGAAAGCTGTATGTAACAATTTTGAAGCATTGAACAAACATTTTTCTAATTCTGCCATAGACAATTTAAGAAACAGTAAAGAAAGATCCAAATATTCAGGTTTATTGAGAATACTTGCTTCCGTAGAGTTTGTTGGTAATTTATTTTTAATTTTATGATATTGTTTGTTATATTTTAGGTATTATGTATGACGCTTTAACTGAATTAGCTGATTTATCTTTATCACTCCAAGATAGATGTTTAAGTCTATCAGTAGCAAATGGTTCTATTGATCGAACAATTCGAATTTTTGATTCTATGGCAGAAAACCATGGACCTAAGTTTAAAGAAGTTAATGATGCATTTGCTAAATCAGATATAGAGTTTAAACATGTAAAACTAGCAACCAATAAATCAATTCCAAAAATCATTCCATCACAGTTTTTTAGAAGCCTTGCAAATAATTTAAGAAGTCGGCATCAACACAGGCATCGCATGTATCATCAGTAAATGATAGTCAATTTTAAAAAAAAGTATCTAGATTATTTAGATGTGAAAAATTGGCCAGATGATTGTGATATTTTGTATGGTGATGAAAACATAAGAAGATTAGCAAAACAATTTCAAGTAGATCTGTAAGAGGATTTCGCATGTTTATTGATACTAAGGATAGTTCCAAAATACTCGATTTAAAACCTTTATTAGATGCAATAAATACGGTAGCTATATCATCATCAGAGTCTGAGCGTGTGTTCAGCTCTATGAATAACATTGTTACTTCAAAAAGAAATGCATTGTCAACTACAAACATGTCATCGTTATTATATATACACTGTATTGGTCCTCCTGTTAATTTATTTGAACCAAACTGTTATGTTACATCTTGGATACGCAGTGGTAATAGATCAGCTGACGAAGTATGTTGTCCAAAAAGAAATGTAAACGATGAAGAACATACTTATCAAAATATGTGGTCTCTTTTTAATAAAAAACAATAAATATTAATTTTTTCTTCTAAGATATTATATTATTATTTAATAAAATATATTATATTTATACCTGTTTGGATTTTAAAATGTGTTGCTGAAAAGTATTATTCAAAATGTATGTAAGGTAGAAGTGGGGAGGGGGTAGTTGCAAAGCCCCCCACGGGTCTGTGTTAAATAATTTCGCCCTTGGAACGCAGTTTTTAAATCGTTGGATTGAGCTCTGCTACTTAATTTTTCCCAATTCGAGCATTGCACATTAGAGTTTACAGACACTCAAATTAATTCAACGGGCGTGCTTGAGAAGGACGAAAACATAGGTAGTCGATAGGGTTGCCACCTCTCCGGGTTTCACCCGGAGAATCCGGGTTTACGTATAAATCTACGGGCTCCGGGTTCAGTGAATTATTCTCCGGGTCGGAGATAAAGATAAGATACGATTTTTTATTATTATTTTTTTTATTAGTTTCCGGTATAAAAACCATTTATTCAAGATAACAAGAATAATAAGATTATGAACTACGGTTTATGACTTTATGAGTAGTTTATTCCGAATATCTGCTTTTAATTTTTGTGTCAGTGTAACCGTGCATCGATATTATAAAAGTATAAAACTACACAGAATTTGAAAAGTAATTCAATAACGACCACATTTATGACGAAACGACCTTTTTTTTTTTTTGCTTATCGGCCTGTCTCCGGGGCTGCTTTCTTTCATAGGTGGCAACTCTAGTAGTCGATGATAGAAATGTTATGGTTCTACGTGACAGGAATACACTTTAGAAACCGGACAGGTATAATGTTCAGACTTTTATTGCTAACTGTGTCAATCCATTGAATTATTATGAGGCAATTACTGGGTCAAACAAAAATGAATGGAATAAAACGTTATAATAATGATTTTGGAGGATAAAATTATAACAAACCCGTCAGTGCGTGAAATAAGAAAAAACATAGATTTAAGCAAAATCCAGTTTTCGGATGCAAACAAGTTTTATACTATTGAAAGAGACCCGAATTTAGTCATATTTTATGGCTTAAGGCCAACTCATTCAACGCCACTCAAAGCCGAGGTCATTTACCTAGCTATAAACTATATACAAACATTTTGCACTTCGAATAATATAAAAGTCTTAAAGCAGGTACCAATTATTTAAAAGAGTAATGACAATTAGACGAACGTCAATTAATAAGATTCGTGAAGTAGAATTTTTAACATTAATAGTTTTTAATAAATGTATAATAATAATATTGTATATTAGGTTATTATTTAGATACAATGTTTGCAGTAATGTACTTATGTATATATTTTCCATATACGTTGGCACGTTGCACTTTTGCAGTATAATATATACGGCAATAAATCATCATTTACTCGTTCATCATTTATCATGCAAGGAGCTGGGGAGATTTTCCGATTCCGATATAAAATGTAGGTATGTGTAGTGTGTAGACTGTAGGTACAGTGAGTCAGTGCACAGCCATGCAAGTTACAACTACAGGTACCTATTTATAATAATAATTTATAGATAAAAATAATAACTTGTTGACTGCATCCTCTGCTGTAATTGCGGTCTGAATTTAGCAGTATATAGGTACTTACCTAGATAAAATTAATTAACATTTTTAGGGATTATATGCTCCCATTTCAAATCCATAGCCGATAATAGCACTAATATATTATATTGTATCTGCATATACATATAAAACTGTATTTATAAAAAATATGTCTACAGCGATGCCGCCACCGCTTACCAAGTGTGTAGTAGTACTTACACGGATGCTTAGTGGAGGTGCCCACCCTGTTAACTGGAATGTACAATGTCCCTAAGCAACCACATATAAATTATGTCCTTGAAAATTTACGTGCTCATCCTTCATTGTACGACATTTTTTTGGTGGAATACAAAGACCATAATGTGCGTAGAGAAGCATGGCAAGAGATTGGTGATGCGTTAAATACCCCAAGTAAATACTATATTATTATATTGATAGGTCCAATTTGAGGGTGGTTGTGTGTGCTGAATTTTGAATTAAGCACCCCCAAATTTGTTTATGTTCATTTACATTTTAAGCTGGTTTCTATAAGTATAAAATAGCATAATGAAAGAAAAGGCTTTAGCACACCCAGATTTTTCATTTAAATTGCTCCCCTGATTATACAGTGCAACTGTGCAAGGTGAATCCCATATGACAAAAAAATATTTGAATAGGTATAAAGCAGTTAATATGAGTAGTTTATTATTAAATTACACTTAAATATCTTTTTTATGTAAATTTCAAAATAATGCTTTAAATAATTTTCCTCGATATTTGTATACAGTAGAATGGGGCAAAGACCTGCAGTTTTTGGTATATTTTTCTGGTATTCTGAAGAAACGGTTTGATCAAAATTATTGAAACTTGGAAAATATATACTATACGTATGTATACAATACTATTTGAATTTGTTATTCATTGGTGGTAAATATCATGCATATTAGTAGTGAGCGGATTTTTATGCACTAATAAGTATAAAATATGCCATATAATATGCACTATGCAGTCAAAATTGTAAATATACCTATGCAACAAAATTTCAATTATTTACATCACAAATGTTTACAATATTAATAGATATATTAATATTGGTACTTATATTTAAATATTGTATAAAAGGTACAATAAATTAATTCTGAGTGGAACGATGAATGTATTGATTTTACAATGATGTGTGTGTTTTTTTTTTTAATTTTTTTAATTTTTAATTTTAAATTTTAATTTTTGTGTCTGTCATCTCACCTTTTAGGACAGTAAAAATGCTTATATTTCTTCAACAGTATCTTTTCTGATAGGAAAGTGAATCTAGGTTGGTACTTTGGGGGGTCAAAAGTAAAAAAGGTGGGTAAGTGGATGTCGCTCTGCTGCACAGTAGGTTACAAGTGGGTCACTGCAATGGATGTTGTTAAATTTGAATTCAATTATATAATATAATTGTATAAGAAAAACGATTCTGAGCGAAAATGGTCAGTCAGCCTATGATATTACTAAATATATTTGATGATATTATTGTGAATAAAGTAATTTATATATTTACCTATTTTAAATAGGAACCTTGTTTTAAATTTTCAATTCTTAGCTATAAAAGTTGAACATTTTATAAATTTTTAACTACAAAATAATTATTAAATTTTAAATTTGATAAATTTTGTCAAAATTCGAAGTTTAAATGCTTATAAAAAAAAATTGTGCCTATGTATTTTTAATATTTTTCAACTGTTATTACTTATTATTAAAAATATATAAGAAGCCTTGCATTAAATTTTCACGCTCATAAAAATTTAATTTGAGTTTCTTGTAGACATTTTTTTTTTTTTTGATAAAGGTAGACAAACTTATGAGGAATCTTGTATTACATTTTCATATCTTAGATTTAAAAAGAAAAATTTTTATAAAATTCTAACTAGAAATAGTTTGCAAATTTTCATAATTATTACGTGTTTTGTCAATATTTGAACTTTAAATGCTTATAACAAAAAACTTTAACTAATTATTTTTAATATTTTTCAATTGTCAGTGTAATAATATATTAGGAGCCTTGTATTAAATTTTCAAGTATTTTTACTCAACAAATAAAGTTTATTGACATTCATAGAAAAAAAAAAACTAATAAAATGGGAATCTGAAAATGTCCCTAAACAAATCAAAATATATCAAAATATTTTGAAAATTTTATAGTGTATAGAAAATGCAAATATTAATGACCAGTAAAAATTAAATAAAATTAAAACCTATGTATTTTAAATATTTTTCAGAATGGTTTTTCATAGGTTAGGTTGCCATCCATTACAGAAACCCACTTGTAACCTACTGCACAACAGAGCGACATTCACTTGCCATCTTTTATTAAATTGTATTTATTATTGAAATGAATAGCCATATGAATTTCCATTTTTTCTTCAATGCAGCTGTTACGTTTATCTGTCAACATATTTTTAAATACCGAGAACGATCGTTCGATATCAACTGAGGTTGTTGGGTCATATTTGAAGTACCTAATTAAATAATATGTAGGAGTAAATAGCAATATAAATGCTAGTAATTTCAAACTATCAATTCATTAAGATTTCTGCCAAAAAACCAAAAATTTGTAAAGGAAAAAATATCTAATTGCATAGAAATCCGTGCTCTGTATTAGTGTTAAAATATTATATTATTATGAAAATAGGTACTTACTATCTTTTGTCTAATATAAATTAATTAGGTAATAATAAATAATATAATATTTATTTAATAAGTATCACACTGTATAGAATTATTAACCATTAATAATTAAAACAATATTTTTATATTATATTAAAATATCTTATATTTACTCAATTAATTATACATTTTTTTTTTATAAATTAATGATAATATACAAATAAAAACATCATCAAAGTTTTAATATTAACCATTACAAAACCAGAAAATTGGGGAATTTAATTATATAGCTAAAAAAATTATTATTATCATTAATTGATTCTTCCTGTTCGAACCATTTCATATTGCCACGGTACCGCACCATTGGATGACAAAAAATAATCCCTATATTTATCACGTACTTCAAATGATCGCTGTGTACTATTTCCTCTTAATGGCTCTATATTTTCAAGACCTTCTCCAATTTCACTTTCTTCGTTTATATCATCCAAATAATAATCATGACTACGACAAAGCATGTTATGAAGAGAACATGCCGCAACTCCGCAAGTACTATTTTGTCTACTGAGTTAGGCTGTACTTGTATGACTGTTCTAAATACTATCCAACGAGCGGACAGTATTCCAAATGCGTTCTCCACAACACACCGTGCTCGGGAAAGTCTATAATTAAAAATTTTGTTCCCCTCATTTCCAGTTACAGATACTTTACTGTACGGTCTCATGATATATGATTTTAGGGGGAATACGTGATTATATACGTATTCTCCATTGTTTTCTAGTGGTGTATCTTCGGGTATCCAACCTTTTATTTTCTAAAGCAGCGTTTCTCAACCTTTTTTCATTTACGTACCCCTTGACCTCTCACCACTGCTTTACGTACCCCCAAATGTCAATTTATTATATATTCACACACAACACAAATATGATATTATGAAATAAGTTCTATGATGGACAATTTCAAAATAATATTTATTAATTAATTTAATTAGCCATACAATGTACGTATATATATATATAAAAGTAATATAAACTTTACAATTTAATTTTAATGAGACCCTTGGGCTTGTTTGCTGGCACATAATTTTTTGAAATCTGGCTCCTCGGATGATAAGTAAACTCGTAAATATGAACTCACAGAGAGTCTATTACGATACTTTTTTTTAATGTACGTGTATGACGAAAAGGCCCTCTCCACCAATACAGTACTCGTGAACGGCAGCAGAACATTAAATGCTTTGTTTGAAAGCTCAGGATACTCTTCTTTTACGTCAGCCCAAAAAGCGATGAGATTTTTTTTCAAATATTACCTCAAGTGAAGAATTCGTCTTCAGTTCAATAAGTTTTTCTTTTTCTCGTACTGATAAAACTGCAGATTCGAAATATTTTTCACTGAAAGGGAATGCTATCCAGTGGTCTCCTTTTTCACATTTTTTGAAGTATTTATTAAAAGCCGCCTTGAGTCCATTCAAATGTTTAACAACTTGGACTTTGATATCTTGCGATAGGTTTATATCAGTTTCGCAGAGAAAATCGTGAAGTGTTTCAAAAATGTCTGGTTGGTTATTCTCTATACACGACGTCCAAAACTCTATTTAACAAAAGATTCTATTTTGTCAGTAACTTGGAATATTGTTACTGTTGAACTGTTTTGAAGAGTCAAATTTAGATCATTTAATTTCAAAAAAATATCGGATAAATATGCAAGTTTTTGAAGCCATTCGTGGTCATTAAACTTCATTGAAAGCTGAAAATGATGGTCTTCAAAGAACATTAGTACTTCATGTCTAAGTTCAAACAAACGAGTAAGGACTTTGCCTCGTGATAACCATCTAACTTCAGTATGAAGAAGGAGGGTTTTGTGAAGACTGCCCATGTCTTTGCACAATGCTGAGAATATTCTGGAGTTTGTGTGGCGAGACTTGATGGAGTTCACTATTTTACAAGAATCATCCAGAACGTCCTTCAAATCAACAGTTAAAGGTTTCGCTGCGAGAGCTTATCGATGGATGCAACAATGAGTCCACTTTACCAGGGGAAATACTGCTTTGACACGTGCAAGGAGACCAGAGTAACAACCTGACATAGACTTGCCACCATCAGTACTTAAGCCACAACATTTTGACCACATTATTCTCTTTTCGATGAAGTAAGAGTTAATAGCATGGAAAATATCTGCACCTGCTGTGCGTTCAGTAAGAGGATGGCAAAGCAAAAGCCCTTATATGCTTTCATTTTCTTTCAAATACCTTGCAATCACTAACAAAACAGCTAATTGTGCAACATCAGTACTTTCATCAACTTGAATGGAAAATAATTGACTATCATATATCAGGAGTGTCTCCTCAATGCCATTAGAAATATCTTTGATTCTACGGCTGACAGTGTCATTTGATAGTGGGATAGAATTTATTTTATTGACATAGTCTTTTTCGAACATACAAGGAACTGCGTCTTTAATGCTTGGCAAAATCAAATTTTCACCGATGGTGTGATTTTTACCACTTTTGGCAATACGGTAACTAATTCGAAAAGATGCTTCAAGAGCATCTGAATTAGTACTACCTGAAGATAGGTAGGTATGCATATTGCACTTATTTTTATTTTCTAGTAAACGTTTGAAAAAAGTAACATTTTTGTCCTTTAAATCTGAATGTTTTGTATTCAAATGACGAGTGAGTAGTGAAGGCTTCATACTACCATTAGATAGTACTTCTCCACAAACAACACATTCAGGTCTAGGAACATTTTCTATCATAACGAATGAAAATCCTTGTGACAAATAATCTTCACTATATTTCTTTATCTTTACCGGGGGTGGAACAAGAAGTTTAGTATCACTAACCTGTGGTAATTTTTTCATAGGATTTTCTTCGGCTGTATTAGTAACCGATGACGGCACGTCTTGAGAATCGGTTGGTTCTGTAGTTTTCCTTTTACTAAAGCTACCAGTTTTTAACCAATGATCCATAGTCGAAAATATTATAAAATATCAAAAAATAATAATTACGAAAGATTTTTATGTACGTCGTATGTGACACGGACACACTGAAAGCAAGCGACAGACTAATTATTAGAATAGATTTCGATATCAAACTAACAGAGAGTGATGTATATGAGATAAAAATGGTTAATGGGTTTTTAATAGACAAGTGATTGACATTGTATTGAACAATAATTGTTACGTAACCCGATAAGATATCCAGCGTCTAGCTGTGCCACATTATTAAATATTTCACAAATTAAAAACCATTTAAAATACACCAATGTAATTTTTTCCGCCATAAGGTTTTTTTTCACGTACCCCCAGGGGTACGCGTACCACAGGTTGAGAAACGCTGTTCTAAAGCATTTCCTAATATACAGGGTGATTTTTTTATCGTGAACCAGTTAATATCTCGGGAAGTATTAGTAATTTTAAAATAATTTTTTTTTTAAACTTTCTAGGTTTTACTATTTTACACTGTGTTACGGTTTTAATTTTTTCCAGATAACTTCACAGACTTATTCAACGATTTCTCTGGTTGTGCTAAATCCCAGACGAAAACTAAAGGCTAAAGACCTGTAAGGTCACCAAAAATCTGTTAATATTTAAATATTTAAAACTTAAAATAAGAATATTATACTTAAACATTAATATTAAAATAAAAGTTTATTTATTATTAATTTATTATAAGAGATTTGGTGACCTAAAAAATTAGATAAAAAAAATAACAGAAAAGGGTAAATGCCCTAAAAATTAAAAAGAATGATAGTAAAAAATTATCTTAATAATTTTAAAATGTATTAATTATTTATTTAAAAAACACTCATATTATTCAAAGGTATTAACTTGCATGAGAAATACAAATTATATATTGAACAATAAAATGTGTTTCCGCCGAAATGTCTATTATTATTTACAATAAATAAAATAAAATTGTAATATTAAATAATTAATATTAATCTAATACATAATATTAATATTAATTATTATTAAACTATGTAGGTATATAGTTCACAGTATTTAATAGATGTCTGAAAACAAATAAAATTACCTATGCTTAAAAAAACCCGAATTTTGTGTTTATGGAAATTAAAAATATTAGCTGGATATGAAATAAATTCATAAGTCATCAAACATATAATTTTTTTTTTTATTTATAATAGCTGATAAGTGCAAGTCCGAATGGACTAAATTACGAAATTGTTTTCTAAATACTATTAGAAGACGTAGAAATACTACAAGTGGTCAAGGAACTAAGAATATCCCACCTTGGAAGTATTCCCAACAAATGGAATTTATATTGCCCTTTTTGGAAAACCGAGAGTAATATATATTATAATTTATAAAATATAAATATAATTTAGAGGGTGTAATACTGTATAAGAATACCTGACAAATGAAAAAACTTTTGTTCTAATCAATATTTAAAAATTTTTCTTTTTTTTTTTATAATTTACAGACGCGTTTCTGTACGTATCTATACCTAAAAAAATTTATTTTTATTTTTTAATACAGAAAATAAATAAATGATACCTGATAAGAGATAATTTCTGGGTTTCAAAATTTTATAAGAAAATTATACTTATCGTGCCATGTTATAATAAGGTAGATAAACTTATGAGGAATCTTTTTTTCATAATTCTTATTACAAACGTTCATAAAAAAATACTATCTACTTTTTTTGGAGATATACCAAACACCAAAATCCATTTTGCCGAAAACAAATTTTGAGTAATTATTCCTGTAGGTATTTACTTATTAATTTCTTTTGTTTTTTTCCTGGTGCTTTCGGAAACTACTGAGAAATTTAAATTATTACTTTCCGAATGTACCAACTATATTTACTTAGGAAAAGATATTTAAGTTGATAATTAAGGCATTATTTCGACTACTTAACAAAAAAAAAGAAAATTAAAAATCATAAAAAAAATCAATAATATTAAATTATAGGTACCTAACAAATTATATTTTATTGATTATAACAAAAGTAATTTAATTTACCAGATCTTCTTGTTACACCCAGCATCATATAAATATAAAAGTTAAATATGCATTAAATTTATTTAAATTGAATTTTAGAGTACACAGTAATTTAGAAACTGGTCCCTCTTCGAGTGATATGTTGAAACCAAATGCTGAAGTTTGCTCCGATACAACTGGTAATACTTCCTGTAACTTAAATGCAGAATCGCAGCCAGATACAATAAACAATTCAGATTTATAAAAAAGTTTTGAATCAAAAAAAGAAATGGCAATGAAAAGAAAAAAATCAGATCACGCTGGAGAAATGGTGAATATAATGAGGGAAAACGCAGCCATAAGAAAAGAAAGATACGAAAAAAAGAAATCTTCTGGGCATGATGATGTAGAGCTATTTTACTTAAGTATGGCTAAAATAGCAAAGCGTCTACCAAAGGAAAAAGAAGCTAAACTCCGTATGGAAATATGTAATAAGGTTTCGGAAACAGAGTTGGCTCACTTATTGGAGGTTGAAACAGTCAACCTACAAAACACAGCACTAAACCGTCAAACAACCAATCCAGTATTCTATAACACTCAAAACCAAACAACACATTTACAACCTAAAAATTTGAGTTTGCATCCAGAACAAAGAGAAAGTAGTTGATCTACCTCTTCATCAACAAATTCAAACGGCCAGGTTTATGTTTACAACGCAACGGTCAAAACTACTGTCGTCCACTCCTGAACACCAACTTACGTCTTCACCAACCACATTGATATTGAGTATACCGCGGACAGCGGCTCGCCCCTCAGCTTATAGTATAGTGTTAATAGTTAATACGTATACGGCTGTAATAGCTATATACTCGCATATAGACCTATAAACTCGGCTACCATTCGTAAATAAACTTATTTTCTCATGCGTCTACCTATAATAACGATATTCAATTGTAATAAACGACTGTTATTAGTTATTAGTTATTACGGATACCAGTAATCGGCAGTTGCAACCAGTAACTGGTATTTATATTTTGTAACTTCATAATGGGTGGAATTTTTTGGGTGGGGGAGAGGCTTAGAGGTTTAGCCCCTCCAATATTAAAAATAATCCTTTCAAAAATATGTATTTTAGTTGGAGCATTAAATTCTTCATTAGTTATCTAATCTAGAAAATTCAGTAAACGATTTATTTGGAGTGCTAATATTCATTAATTTACATTTAAATAATTAAATATGTACACAAATATTTTAAAACTTTGACCCTGTTAATTATACTTAGTTTTTTATACTATACTATGCCTATGTTGGATGCCCTAATGACATTACATACCCTGAGTTAAATCAGGTAAAACACCTAGTAATTGGTGTATTTCCATATTTATGTATAGGTGATGTATGAAGTTCGCCCCCCCCCCCCAATATAAGGATCTAGGGACCATACTCCGATTATTGATCGTGGTGTAGAACGTCGTTCTTAAAAACCTAGACCGTAGGTCATACTGCCGATTTTATTCGTGCTGTCGCTCGTTTTGGTTATAGTGTAGGTATTGTGTATTAGTATGTGTCTCCGCGCGACCTTAAAGTTGTTATTTTTTGTTACTTTGCTCATCGACTCCAAGACATAACCTGAATTGTTAGTCATAGTGCAGAAACATGATGAACATCGATGGAGAAGTCGATCTCCCCGCTCATTTGTTGGACCATGATTATTTCCGTCCAGTTGTGTCAGAACAACCCGATTGAAGAACTCACGGATGAAGATGAAGAAGAACAAGTACTCGAAGATGAAGAAGAAGATCCTGTAGAAAACGTAGTACCAGTAACTTACAGACTGATTCCAGGGATTCATCATGGTTCAAGAGTTTATGTGGATAATTTAGGTTTTAAGTACTACAAGCTCGAAGCCACGGCCAAACATATATTATACTTGGTATGTGAGGGGCAAAAAAAGTAGGCTTCATGAGTATTGTCCTTGTACAGCATCAGTGATTACACAAGTTGACAATAGGATAAGAATTTGGAATCGACACAACCATAGACCTGCAGATATAAATTTACACGTACCTTTCCTAAGAGAAGAAATTGGTGCAAAGGGCATTGATCCTGAAAACATGTCTGTACATGTTGGTGCCTACAATATTATATACAGGGTGATTATGTTACCAGAGAATACTGGATATTCTTTAAGCACAACCGTGAATCCAACTCTATGGCACCCACTAACCAATATTAATCATTACGAGTTGTATGAGTTAAACAGTAAATTAATATTACATTTACAATATAATTATTAATTATAATATAACCTTAACCAATTACTAGAATCCTAACCAAACCTAGGTAGGTACACACAAACAGACCACATTTATTATTTTTTTTAAGTGTTGCGCAAGTAACCACTACTGTAGGTTTCCACAAAACCTAAGGAACTGTTTTAAATTGGTGAACTTAAGACTTCAGACGACAAGTTTCATTGACTAAACTAGTAAATTATGTCGGGTGAATATTTTAATACTATTTAAGTTAACTGAAATATAATTAATAGTTATTGAAAATAACCTTTACGTACAATAAGTACCTATTAAAATAAGAAACAAAAACATCTTACACTATACACCATAATTTAATTGACTGTATATTGTACTACATATAATACAATGTATTTAAAATGTTTTTAATAATTAACGTTGTTGTGTTGAATATTTGTTCTTGAGTTTAACTATTGAAAAAACACAAAATAATTAAAAAACATCATTGTAACAAATAAACAGTTAAATAATAACTTCTGCATACTTTTGTAGACGATTGATGAGGGTTCTATACAAAGGGGACAATGGATTCCTTTCGTAAATCCACCTTACTATGCATCTCCTACAAAACATATGCTAGCAAGGCATTTTTTTTACATTGCTCACTCTTTGAATACAAATAACGCATATCTCAAGGACTGAAAAATAAATATTTTGAAAAAAAATTCTAAAGGTACAACTTAATTTAATTTATCTTACTTTCTTCATTTTCATTATTTTGATGCTGATCCAGCTCCTGATTCTCATCTGGCTCCACTCCTAAAAATTTGAAGTATATATTACTAGTTGTTAAATTAGAAATAAAATATTGAATGAATTGTGTAAGCCATTAATATCAATTATATAAATACATTTTTTTTATTTAAAAGATTTAATTTTGTTTGCGTACCACCCATGACAGGGGTGCACGAAATACAACTTTAGGAATTTCATTTTCTAAAATAAAGAAGTAAACTTTAAATTATAAATTTAGTTATTGTTTTTGGCAAAAAGTGTTGCAATAATCATTATATTATTTACCGTAATTATTCTTTGAAATCCATTTTGTCTTCCAAAGATCCAGCTCTCCATTGAATGCAATGTAATTTATATCCCAACATTTATATTGTTTATTCATAGTTATTATTAACTCATTACTTTTTTCTGTTGACATCTTAACAATATGTATTGCAAGAAGCTGCAATCATTATATAGATGGTTTTATTTTTATTATTGTAAAATCGATAATGTATATCCTCCAAAACATTATCAAGAATGGGTATATATACAATTCTACAGTATTTGTTGCGTACGCGAGATATTTTGTACTTATATAATTGGTAAATACCATAACGATTATCTGTATAGAGTATAAATGTATGGCTACAACACGTTTGGGCATTTTATCCCAAATTGAGACACGTTTGGGCACTCTATATCCCTAAAAAGATACCACGTTTGGGCACTAAAGTGTAAAATGTATATACCTTTGTTTAAAAAGTATATACATACAAGCATAATAAATATGTCAAAGTTGCAGTGATTACGCGTGTATCGGTACTCGTCGCTGCGCTAATCGGCGCTGATCGAAAAATATCCCCAGACTTGCTATGCAACACCACCTTAAGTAGGTTACAAGGTAAGTTATGTCGTAGTATATGGGCAGTGATTACACAATTACACATTAAAAAAAAAAAAATAGCTAAAAAAGGGTGCCCAAGTAAAGTAGAAATATACTTATATACCAAATTTTAATATTGAAATTTTATTTTTTCTTAATTATTGCTTATTTTTTACATGATTAATAACCTAACAGTCAATACAAAATATTTTATACAATTAACATATGTACATATTTTATATACTTTTTAAACAAAGGTATATACATTTTACATTTTAGTGCCCAAACGTGGTATCTTTTTAGGGATATAGAGTGCCCAAAACGTTGTGTGGATTTTGAATACTAAACAGGTAAAAATGCCCAAACGTGCTGCACCGAAATGTATAACATTATTTAATGTAAGATAAGATACGTCCGATAGGGCGGTCTTCGATGACGGGCGATCGGCCGTTGTTCAGTCGCAATAAAACCGTACCAATGTAACGTACGCGTCGTAGCCGTTCGATATATGAACTAGCGAATAAAGTAAAAATAATATTAATTAAGTGTTATTGTTTTATTAAATTAAACCTTGAGCTATCGTAAACATGGTCCTTCGTCCGGGATTCAAATCGTAAGTCGTAAATTAGTGCGAACTGCGAATTAAGTATTATTAATATTCGATCAAGCGTTATTGGGTCAATCAGTTACTGGTCAAAAAAAAGGCCATAAGTGTATTGATCAACGAAAAGTGTGAAAGATCGTGCGAAAATACAGTCCACAGAAGTAAAATACAGTCCACAGAAGTAAAGTTCACCCACGGGAATATAAGGTAAGGCGTTTTCCATTTTATTCCTAAATTAATCCTAGGTGGTTTCACCCGAGTATATATTTTATACGGAAATAAAGTACAGATAAGTATAAGGTCATGGTACAGTATAGTCTCTCTCTTGCGTTCTCTCTCCCTCTCTATCTATCTCTTAGATCGCATAGTTGAATATTGGTCTCGAAGATGGGGGGCCAAGAGAACATGATAACTAGAAGAGGACAATTTTATTGAAAGCGTCGATAACAAGATTTTCAAATTTTCTACAATCGCAAAATGTTGATTCGACTGAGGTAAAAGCGCGGCGTGAAAAAATAGAAGAGTCATGGGCAGATTATGAACAGGTTCAAGCGGCCATAGAAATGGAAGAGGGAGTCAATATCGATGCACAAAACAAGTATAGAATGGAATTTGAAGACTTATATTTTAAAACTATTGCTTCAGCAGAGAAAATCATGATAGCAGCAGGCTCAACTGTATCGCAAGACGAGAGTAGAAATAAAAATTCCGACACCGTCACACCGATATACCTAATGCGTGTATGAATAAAGTTTTGTCGATGGTAAGTTGTCGTCGTTGAGCGTACCAGAATTTACCGGTAATTATCAAGAATGGGCATCGTTTTACGATATATTTTCGGCACTAATAGATAACAATACGTCGTTAACGGCGATAGAAAAGTTTTTTTATTTACGCGAATCGTTATCAGACGAAGCATTGGGACATATGGAACGAATCGATAAGAAAATCGAAAATAAAGATGAAGAAGGCAAATATTATATTCCACACCACGCCGTGCGTAACGACAGTAGTACGACGACAAAACTACGGGTCGTATTTGTCGCGTCATGTAAAACTGATACGAGCGTTAATCTCAACGATAGGTATATTACTTAAAGGTCCGTCTATTCAAGACGATTTAATATACATATTGATACGTTTTCGTACTTATAATTATGTATTTACGGCAGATATCACAAAAATGTATCGTCAATTTTTAGTTGTCGAGGATCAGCGAGATTTTCAACGTGTGTTATGGCGACCTGAACCGACACAACCGATCCATGTACGTAGTAGGATCAAAAAATTCCCGGAATTTATTTATAGAAAAAAAACTATATTTCTTATCAAATATCTGATTATTGCAGGGATGGAAAACGTTTTTGAAAACGTTTTTAAAAAACGTTATTAAACGGAAAAAAATGAAAAACGAAAACAATTAATAAAACGAAAACGAAAAAAACCAAAAAACGAAAACAATTAATAAAACGAAAACGAAACAAAACAAAAAATGAAAACAATTAATAAAACGAAAACGAAACAAAACAAAAAACGAAAACAAAAACGTAAAACGGAAATAAATTATAGTATTATACATTATTTAATTATTTATACCACGAAAAAAAAATCTGTTATCGAAAACGGAAAAACCCGAAAAACTGATAATTCTGATAATATTGTTGACATTAAAATATATAAATAGCATAGAAGTATAGAATAATTATTATTGTAGGCCACACACACACACGCACTGCGTAGCGGTAAAATTCTATTATCTTATTTATCTGTCATCAAGATGGTCATGGTTCATAGAGTAATCTATAACAGGGTTTCAGTGATTATTATATTATAGTGATTATACTATTATAGTATTATCTTTTGGAGGTTGATTAATCATGTTATTGCTTTTGTCTAATTAAACCTAACCTAACTTATAAGCAGGGGCGTAGGTAAGGGGGGGGTTTGGGGTGTTCAAACCCCCCCCCATTAAAAAAATCCCAATCGGTTAATAATATATAATAATTATAATCAGGAAAACATTGCATGTAGATACTAAAAAAAACAAAAATTACTTTGTAGTTAAACATAAGAAAACAATTAGGTAATATATTGCTAAATTATAATCAAGAGCGAAGATGAATATTTTTGTAATACAATTTTACAAGTGCGCGTTGTTTCAGCGTTTGTTACGAAAAATAATGATTATCTAGATAGATATCTAATGTTATTTATAATATTCAATATTGTAATTGCTATATATAAATTATAAACTACAAAATTGCGTGCCCGACGGCGGCCGACGCCCGCATCTTATTTTGACCCACGACGCATACGGCCGTACCAGCAATACTGCTAATAATAGTTTGTTAATAGTATAAGAATTTATCACTGTGTTTCAAATTATTTAATCACCGATTTACCCTGGTCATTTATCCTAGAGCTGTTGTGCAATGTGCATTGCAGTTGTTCTCAGTTCTCAGATCTCAGTTTGCGTGTAACTGTGTAAGCTAAATACTATTTTCCAGCCAAAGCAGGTAATTTATTAATTTTTATAATTTATATTATATAAAATATACAATCAGAATTATTTATTTCAAATTGTTTTTCGTTTTATCATTTATATTTTAAACGTTTACTGCCGATCGCCGATGTCAACACATAGTTGACGTTCGCGATCTTGCCACGGTGACCGACCTTAACACAGCACGTTTTTAACGCTATCCATGTTTACGTATTCATTGTTATTTTGGTTTTTTGTATTCCTATGATATTGATATAAAATTATTCCTTATTATCTGTAGATTATAATTGTACATCAGATTTATATTACATTGTTGCGGCCGTCACTTCTACGTTTTTTTTTTGTTTACTCGCGACACACGTATTTATACGTTTACCGTTTCAAATAAAAATTTAATTTTTTTGAACGTCGAATTTTATAAAGTTTTTGTTGTTCATTAGGCAGACTCTTTTCACTCTAGAGATTCTAATTTCTAATATTCTATAATTCGATAATTCAAATTATTTTTTATGATTACAATATATTAAAAAATTTATTATTTTTCTCATAACAGAAACAAAATGAAGCGAATAAGTCAGCCATCGGTTTTAAACTTTTTTGAAAAGAAAAAAAAATCTGAAAGTGGAACCACCCAAATTAATCAACCCTTATCTATGAGTTATCCAACTGATCCTGAAGCTTCAAGTTCTTCTGAAAAAGTTTCTTCCGTTGAAGAAGAACATGAGCTATTATTTGAAAATGATGTAGGAATCTATTTAGGAAATCCACCGACAGATAACGAAAAAAAGTTTAAAGTTTTTCAAAATCCGTGGATGCCACCTTTATCATATAAATTTCCTGTGAGTGATAAACGACGTCTTTCTTTCCAACGCCACTGGATGGAACAATATTCTTGGCTCGTATTTTCAGATGTTGCCAAAGGTGCTCTTTGTAAAGTGTGCGTTTTATTTGGTCGTAATCATGGTGGTCGTGGTGGACAAGAACTACGGTCTTTAGTGGCCATCCCATTTATAAATTGGAAAAAAGCTAAACAAATATTTAACAGTCATAGTAAGGCAGACTATCATATGTTTTCAGTTGAAAAAGCTCAAGGGTTTATGACAGTTATGACAGGGAAAACTACTGATATTATAACATCTATAAACTCAGAAAATAAAAAACAAGCCGAAGAAAATAGGAAAAAATTGATCTCCATTGTTGAAACCGTAATCTTATGTGGTCGTCAACAAATAGCTTTAAGGGGTAAAAATGAAACTGGCAAAATAAATTTAACAGAACCCCCCTATAATGATGGCAACTTTCGGGCAATTTTGCGATTTCGTGCAAGATCGGGTGATATTTTCCTAAAGGAACATATTTTATCCCAAACATCCGACAGTCGATCAATGTTCACGTCACCAACAATACAAAACGAAATTATTGATCTATGTGGCAATTTTATTCAAGAAAAAGTTGTCAATAGAATAAAAAATGCTGGGTTTTTTACTATTCTTGCTGATGAAACGCAAGATATATCAAGGTACGAACAATTAGCTTTATGCATTCGGTACGTAGACGATTCTTCTGCAGATAGTGTATTCATCAGAGAAGATTTCTTAGAGTTTGTGCATGTAAAAGATGTGACAGCTTCAGCATTGGCCACCACCATCATGCAATGTATAATTACTCTTGGATTAGATATGGAGATGTTAGTAGGCCAAGGATATGATGGCGCTGCTGTGATGAGTGGTCAATTTCGAGGAGTGCGCACAATAATCTCAGAGAAATACCCAAAAGCTCAGTTCATCCATTGCTCAGCCCATACTTTAAATTTGGTTTTGGCACACTCTTGTGAAATCCCAATGATCCGAAACTGTATTGGTACTATTAAGACGGTAATTAATTTTTTTAGACAATCCGCGTTGCGTGATTGTATTCTTAAAGATGGTATCCGGATATTTCACCGCAATTATTTCACCCCACGACTATTCACCGCCAACATTTCACCGCATTTATAACTCACCGCGTGCACAATTCACCGCGCATACAATTCATCGCAGTTTTTTTTTTGATAATGTAAAATGTAATAAACCAATTTATCAGTCGATGTCTATATATTAAATTACGACATGGAATTTTTGATATGATGAGCCATTAAGTTTATCTTACTGATACAAATTGATTTCCTTATCCAAAATTCTAAATTTAAAAATAACCAGATACGTTTAACTATACGATTACACACGTTACTGATTATTGAATTATTGTGTCGGCATCGTCCAGTACGTATATCGACGTTTACGAGAGTGTTTCGTTTTATAATCATGAATAATATATCGTATATTAAAAGTGAACGGGGTAAAGATAAATTAATATTAAAAGGGTACATTTATATACTTGAAAAACAAGGTTTAAATAAATTAATATGGAAGTGTGAAAATTATCAGAAGATAAAATGTAAAGGACGTTTACATGTTTGTAATGACGAAATTATAAAAGAATTTAAACATAATCATGTGCCGGACTGTGCAAAAGTTGAAGTATGCAAAGCAATCAACGAATTAAAAGAAAAAGCTATCGAACGACCCGATTTAAGAACACGTGCAGTCTTAGGTTCAATTTCGACATCTGTAAGTACACTTATTTAAAATACTTCTTTTATTAATTGTAAAACTATTCTATTTCATAATATTATACATCTTGTAGTTAACTACTTCAGCAACAGCGCATTTACCTAAATTAAGTTCTCTTAAACGAACGATTCGGCGGATAAGAAATGAGGAAGATACTTCACCACCAAACCCAAAATCACTAAGTGATTTAATGATTCCCCAAAAATACCAATTGACGAACGATGAACAACCATTTTTACTGTACGATAGTGGTCCAGGAGAAGACCGAATACTTTTATTTTCGACCGAAAGAAATTTACGTCTTATGGAAAACTGTAAGCATTGGTATGCAGACGGAACATTTTCGACATCGCCTTCATTGTTTACTCAAATATATACGGTAACTGTTTTAAATTATTTTTTAATATAAAAGTATATTTTAAATAAAAGGCTATGGTGAACACTAATAAGGGTATAAATAATAATAGGTATATAACCGATCAAACGTTACAATTTAATTACTTTACTTGTTATTTAGAGATAAATGTATTAAAGTTACTTTACTCGTTACTCAAAAAATATTGTAATGAAATTACTTTAATTTTCGAATAGAAAAATTAAGTTATATCATAATTATTGTAACTAAATGTGTAAATTACTATATGATTTTACAGATACATGGTGTACAGTACAGTAATGTTTTCCCATCAGTGTTTGCATTATTACCAAATAAAATGGAATCTACATATTGTCGCCTATTCGAAGCATTGAAATCAATAAAACCTGAATTGAATCCGGACACGATTATGATTGATTTCGAGAAAGCAGCCATGAATGCCATTTCAAAAACATTTCCAGTTACAAAAATTCGAGGTTGTTTTTTTCATTTTACACAGTCTGTTTGGAGACACGTTCAACAAGCTGGACTTCAACAAAAATATACTGAAGATTCAGAATTCGCTCTACAAATCAGAATGATGACTGCCCTTAGTTTTGTACCTGTAGCTAATGTTGAACAGGCTTTCAATGATTTGATGGATACTAGTTACTACACAACAAATGAAGAACTTTTAACTCCAATGGTTAATTATTTCGAAGACACGTGGATTGGTCGTATGGACCGTAGGAACAGAAGAAAGCCAGCCTTATTCCCGATCAATTTGTGGAACTGTTATGCTTATTTAGCAGAAAACATTCCAAGAACAAACAATTCTGTCGAAGGTTGGCATAATAGTTTTTCATCCACATTAAATGTAATTCATCCTAGTATTTGGAAGTGTATTGAGGCGTTTAAAAAAGAAGAATCATTAAATAAAATCCATGTTGAACAGTTTATAGCCGGGCATTCAATGGGCGTTAAAAGAAAATACAAAGACTTTGCTGAAAGGTTAAAAAATGTGTGTGATGACTATCATAATAGAATAACAGAAGATTACTTAAGAGGCATAGCCCATAATTTTCAGTTAAATGTTTGATTATTTATGTAGATAGTAATTTATTGTAATATTATTTTATTTTTTTCGGACAATATGTAAATGTATTTGCATAAACTAATTTATAATTTTTAATTAAATGAACAATAATTATACTATTATATTATTATTTACTCATTAATAAATTTTACTATATCCACGACGAATTGTAACCGCGGTGAATTATACATGCGGTGAATTGTAAATACGGTGAACTGTTGACGGTGAATAGTCGCAAGGTGAATTATCACGCGGTGAATTATCCGCGATCCCTTAAAGATGCAGCAGAGTCAGCTGGAGCTACTCACTCTAATCTGGTTTCTCTTTGTGAAACCCGTTGGACTGAAAAACATTTGGCAGTAGAACGATTTGCAGAAATGTTTTCTGTAATAACAGAAGCACTGCAAGCTCTACAAGATAGTCGAAGAGAATGTGCATCACAAGCTTACCAATTAAAACAAGCAATAGAAAACTCACAGTTTGTAGTATCGATGCTCATTTTGCGAAATGTTTTCAGCTTCACATCAACTCTCAACAAAATTCTTCAAACTCAAAATATTGATTTGACCGAAGCTTGCAAATATGTAGATATCGTAAAAAAAACATTAGAAGACATACGAAATGATGATGAATTTTCAAGAATTGTGACAGATTCTAAAGAATTTTTAGGTATTGAGTCACTTACAGCACCTAGAATCACAAACAGACAAAAAGGACGAAGCAATAATTCTGCAGAGACAGCCCAAATATATTATAAAATAAACGTTTACTATCCATTTCTTGACCATGTGCTAAACGAACTAACAGCCAGATTTTCTAACCATCACGAAAAGATCGGGAACCTCCAGATTTTACTTCCAAAATTTATGAAAAATAAAAATGATGCTAAAAAAAAATTGACCGAAATCCATAAAATGTACCTGATAAATGAAAAACTTGAAAATCTGTTGTGTGAGTATCAATTATGGACCAAGAAGTGGGAAGAAATAAGTGATGACTTGAATGAGTTAAATGCAATCAAAACATTGGAAAAGTGTGATAAACAGTTTTTTCCTCTCATTTATAATCTTCTCAAAATTTTAGCCACTCTTCCTGTGTCTACTGCAAGTGCGGAACGTTGCTTTTCTACATTAAAGCGCTTAAAGACGTATTTACGAAACACCATTGGTCAAGAGCGACTTACTGGACTAACTCTTCTAAATATTTATAGAGATATAATTGTTGATCCTTTACTCATTGTGAACAAATTAACACAACGTAGGAAACGATTAAATTTACTTGTATAATGTTTAAAAAATAAAATAAAATGTATTTTATTAATATACGCATTTATTTGTATTTGGTTTTTTCACGTTAGCCTGTTACTAATAATTTAAGTTGAAACCCCTCCCATTAAAAATCTATACCTACGCCCCTGCTTATAAGTTATAAGATCATAGAGAATTTGTGTATAAGTAATAATGTCTATGCTTATAAGCAAATACTATCGTATATATTATATTTTGTTGATTGTTATAACTTAATAATTAATATATTAGGTGTTGTTATTGTTAAATAGTTTAATATGCATTGTGATTACTGATTTGTGATAAATTATAACTGTATTCACTATTCTCAATTCTGTAAGGGTAAGTTATATATTATAATTTCATTATTATTTAATTTACTTGTAATTTGTCTTTGACTATTATCTAGTATTATAATTTATAATCAAGATAATAATGAATAATGAATTATGAATTATAATTTATCTTGACTTATAATATGAATTTTAACTTTTTAGATATTTGCCAAGTAAATTATTAATATGGGTAGAACACAGACGAACCCAGTGGACGCATATTTTTCAAAAGATAAAATTACTAAAAAATCCAAGTGTTTGGTTGACAATTGTAAAACTACATTAAGTGGATTACACTCCGGTAATATGGAGACTCATTTAAGGACTAATCATAAAAAAGAATACGAAGAGTTACAGGGGGAAAAAAGTAAAGGAGATAAAGATAAACGAATGTCATCAGAAATGAATTGTATAGATCAAAGAAAAAGAAAAGTATGCTACATTCCTTTAATAAACTTGATTTAAATTTAAACTGTGTATAAAAATTAAAATTAAATTTATATGTTATATAATAATTCAGGTTATCGTACAGACAGATTTAAATGCAGTGTTTACTATAACTAAGGAATCAGTATTAGTTAAACTTGATTTTAATACTTTATTAAACGCATGTATAGAACTAACCACAGTAAATGGTAGACCATTTTCAATGTTAGAAGATTCTGGATTTCAGACTATTTTAAATCCTATTCTGAAAGCTTTAGGAGGAAATCAAAGTATTAATCGCCATAATATAATACAACATATTTCTGAAACTGCCAATTCTATAAGAAATGAAATAATTTGTCTAACCAAAAATAAACTTATTAGTTTGAAAACTGATGGTGTAACTAGAAAAGAACGATCAATTCTAGGAATTAATGTTCAACTTATGGTAGATGATAAACTTGTGGTGAAAACTCTAGCGATGGTTGAATTGTTTGAAAAACATACTGCTGAAAATTTTAAAAATGTGGTAGCTATACATTTATAATTATTATTTATTATTATAATAATACATTAATATTTTATAATATTGAATTTAAAATTAAAAATCTTGTTTATTTAATTTAAAATTAGTCAAATTAATAAATTAGGTAATTATGTTCTAAATACTTAAAAAATTAATTTTTTAATTTTTTCTATGTTTTCAGGTTTTTAAAGTCATTAATAAATTTAATATAAAAAAACATCAAATACTTTCTATTACTTCAGACAATGCTAGGAATATGGTGAAAATGGTTGACTTAATATCTTCTTCAGATAATAATGATAATATAGATTATGATGAATTTGGCTTAAATGAAGATGATTTATTAGTTGAAGATGCAGTTGAAAACGAATCATTTGAATTGCTTTTAGAGACAGCTATTCAACCATCAATTTTAACCAGAATGATACGCTGTTCAGCTCATACTTTGCAACTATGTGTTATAGATGGTCTTAAATCTACTAACATTCAAAATGTAATTTGGAAAGCTAGAAAAGTAATAAATTTCACATTTAGTAATTTAGATAATTTTATAAAACTCTTATAATATTATTTTAATATTTTATAACCTAACCTTACAAGGTTTAAATAATTCTGAAGCAGAAGAATTAAATAATTCTGCAGGAAATGATGAACCTGTAATAGAAGATGACTTTGAATTATTCATTCTCAATAATAATGAAACAGCAGTGCCCTTAGGATCAAACAGTTTCCCTACTCAAGCACCAATTCAACTTTTATTAGAAGCGTTTGACAATATATCTAGGGAACATTATAAAACAAATATTGTTGAGTACTGGAAACAACAACAAAAATCTATGCCTGAACTATACAGATTAGCCCAAGTTCTATTAGCTGTTCCAGCAACACAAGTAATTAGTTTAAAACTTTAAAATAATTTATAACTATAATTTTTTAAATAATAATTAAATAATTTTAATATTCTTCAGGTCAGTGTAGAAAGAAGCTTTTCCTCATTAAAATTCATTTTGTCCGATTTACGTACAAATATGACCGAAACTATTTTAGAAGATGTAATGATTATAAGAGGCAATAAGCAATTTAAAAAATTATTTTTTTTTAATATATTATTTAATAATTATATATAGGTACTATATGATTATTATAATTTATATCAACTATTGAGTACTTAACTTTTGTAGTTTTGTAATATTAACTAACATTGTTCCTTTAATGTTGTTCCTAAATGTTTGTTATAAACTGAATAAAAAAAAAAAATGTAATTTGTTATGTTTACAAAATGTATGATGGACATTATGAATGATTTATTAAATTTTATTTTATTAAATAGAATATTATATTTAAAAGAAACAGTCATTCTTAGTTATAACTTATAAGTTAATATTTATTAAATAAAAAACAGCTTGTTTTATTTTATTTTTATCAGTGTTTATCTTTATCTTTATCTTTATCTTTATTTTGTATTTAGTAGGTACTTATTATTTACTAGTATTTAGTATTTATTATTTTTGCTCAATGTGTAAGTGCAATTTTTTTATTTTTATTCTTAAATGTATATAATATTTTTATTTAATTTAATATTTTACAATTACCAATATGTTCATTTTCTGAGTTCTGGATTATTTTTATTATTTACTCTAGAAATCTGAAATAGTGTTTCCCTTTAGTCTTTAAGACTTAAGTCTTTACTTTTGGGTATTTAATCTTTATTCTTTACCAATGCACTTTTAAAATTTAAAAATATTTTAATTTTAAATCAGAAATTTCAAATTTTCTAAATTTTCTATAAATTATAATTTTGATTTAAAATTTAAATATTAAAGATATTTAATTTGAATTTTTAACTTTTAAGTGCATTTCTATGTTGCGCGTTACTATTATAACTTAAAAGTTAAAAGTTACGAGTTATAAGCTATAAGAATATATTATATTATATATACATAAAAAAAAAATTACCAAAAACGTCATTTAGAAACAATAAGAAAATAACGTTTTTAAAAACGTTAATCAAAAACGCTATTGAAAAATAACGTTTTTAAAAACGTTAATCAAAAACGCTATTGAAAAATAACGTTTTTAAAAACGTTAATCAAAAACGATATTGAAAAATAACATTTTTAAAAACGTTAATCAAAAACGTAATAACCAAAAACGTTTAAAACCTGTTAAACAAAAATGATATTTTTAAAATCAATAAACAAAAACGAAAACGAAAAAATTAAAAACGTTTTCCATCCCTGGATTATTGGAATTAAAAGTAGACATTATTAGCTATCTGTAGGTTTTGTCGTTAAAATTACATTAGTCTCATGTGAGAGGTATTCGTGTCCATACGAAACGGAGTTTATGCATATTTTTAAAATGTCACAATTTGAACAACGCGCTAACATTAAATTTTGTTTTAAACTTGGAAAAACTGCTGCAGAAACGCTTGAATGTTTGAAAACAGTTTTTGGTGATGAAGCATTAAAGAAAACAGCCGTTTATGATTGGTTTAAATGGTTCAAAAATGGTCAAGAGTCACTCGAAGACGAAGAGCGGAGTGGCCGGCCGTCAACTTCAAAAAATTATGAAACAATCGAAAAAGTTAAAAATTTGGTGCGATCAGATCGTCGTTTACGCATTCAAGATATGGCAAATGCATTAGGAATATCGTATGGTTCAGTTCAAAACATTTTGAAAGATGATTTTTGGAATGCGGCGCGTTTGTGCGAAATTTGTTCCACGCATTTTGACCGAAGACCAAATGGAAAACAGAAAATTGATTGCCGCTGAACTTTTCGAACGTTCCGTAAATGAAAAAGATTTTTTATCAAAAATCGTTACAGGCGATGAAACTTTGAAACTTGGGTTTTCACTTATGACCCAGAGACAAAATTGCAGTCATCAGAATGGCACACAACAACGTCACCGAGGCCAAAAAAATCACGTGTTGTCAAATCACAATTGAAGGTCATGTTGATTGTGTTCTTCGACAATGAAGGGTTAGTTCACTGGGAATTTGTACCTAATGGACAAACAGTCAACTCAAGTTTTTATATTGAAGTTTTAAAGCGTTTAAGAGATTCAATTCGGTGAAAAAGGCAAAGAAAATGGGAAAATGGTTGGTTTTTGCATCATGACAATGCACCATGCCACTCGTCTTTTGCAGTTCGGCAATTTTTAACGGATAAAAAAATGTCTACAATTCCACAACCCCCGTATTCGCCAGACATTGCTCCATGTGACTTCTGGCTGTTTCCAAATTTAAAACTTGGACTCAAAGGTGAACGTTTTGCGACAATTGAAGACATTAAAGTTAACGCAACAGCAAATCTCAGGGCCATTCCAATAGAGGGATACCAAAGATGTTTCCAGCAGTTACAAAGTCGTTGGAGTAAGTGTGTCTGTGCTGAAGGACGATATTTTGAAGGAGATTAAGTAAATTAAGTAGATTTATATTTAAATTGTACGTATATACATAGAAAAATAAAATGAAATTCCGTGAACTTTTTGATCCTTCTACGTATATCGACTTAATACACTGACTGACTGACCTACGGTACCGTGCCGGCGTCATACTTGGCAACAGCATGTCTCGAAAAGTTGGAAAAAACGGAATGTGACAGTTGTCCGGAGGTGGGCGAATCAATTATTAGAGATTTCTATATGGACGAATATCTAGGCGGTGCAATGTCCAAAACCGGTGCGATAAAATTACGAGATAATCTAATTTCAATTATGAGTAAAGCCGGTTTAGAACTGCGTAAATGGTTATCTAATGACCCGGAATTAATAGTCGACGTGCATTCCGACAACAATAGTATAAGAGCTATGGGCGAACTAATGACAAAAATACTAGGTTTGCATTGGAAATCAGATGATGATATGTTATTCTACACGGTACAGCAGGTGGAGGTCAATGCCCCGATAACTAAAAGGAAAATATTATCCGAAATCGCAACAATATTTGATCCGTTAGGGTTACTCGGACCTGTTATTATAATCGCCAAAATTATTATGCAAAGTTTATGGCAATTAAAGATTAATTGGGATGACGTATTACCCGATAATATTTGTGTAGAATGGCAAAGATACCGAGGCGGATTACCATCGTTAAATCATTTAAGAATACCACCATGATCACCACATTTCGGTGGCCTGTGGGAGGCGGCGGTAAAGTCGATGAAAAATTTGTTATCTAAGGTGTTAGGTGAATCTCGTTTAACTTAAGAAGAGATGAGTACTGTACTGACTTGGGTAGAAGCATGCTTAAACTCTAGTCCCATTACCTCTCTGTCTTCCGACCCATCCGATCTTTCCTATTTAACGCCTGGTCACTTTTTAATCGGTGATGCTATTGCCGCCGTACCCGAAAGGGATGAAACGACTACTTTCGTGACGCCGTTGGAGCGTTGGAGAAGGATTACCCAATATTCACAACTACTTTGGAAGCGCTGGAGTACAGAGTATCTGGGTCAACTACAGGAGCGGGTATAATGGACTCAATCAAAGGGGCCAAATTTAAGGGTAGGATCTGTGGTGTTAATACGAGACACAAATTTGCCCCCTTTGCAGTGGCGTCTCGGTCGGGTCCTCCAAATCCATGCAGGAAGGGACGGAATAAGTCGGTCGGCGTCCGTAAAGACGAAATTTGGGGAAATTACAAGGGCAGTTCCAATCGACAACAATCAATATTAAATAAAAATCTTTTATATGTTTTATTTATTTATTTATTCAGTAACATTAATTTATATTTGTTCAATTATTACCGTATCAGGTTGTTGTTATTAGTCAATTTATTATTATATTTTGTTTATTATTTTCTTTATAAATTATTTGTAATGTATATTAATTATTCTATTATCAAATTTGTATTTTTATTGTTCAATTTGTTGAAATATTATTTATATTTCAAGGTGGGCGGCTATGTTGCGTACGCGAGATATTTTGTACTTATATAATTGGTAAATACCATAACGATTATCTGTATAGAGTATAAATGTATAACATTATTTAATGTAAGATAAGATACGTCCGATACGGTCTTCGATGACGGGCGATCGGCCGTTGTTCAGTCGCAATAAAACCGTACCAATGTAACGTACACGTCGTAGCCGTTCGATATATGAACTAGCGAATAAAGTAAAAATAATATTAATTAAGTGTTATTGTTTTATTAAATTAAACCTTGAGCTATCGTAAACAGTATTCTTCAGGGAAACTCGCTGGCGTATTTGAACAGTTGGATTGGTGTTTGAAAATGCGTGGTACTTTTACTTAAATATCTAAAGTAGTCATAGTAGTTTTACACTTTTCAAACATAATTTTAAATCGTTTTCGAAATGTGAAAGTTTGCATTGCATTGCATTTTTGTGGTATAAATGCCTACTATGTGATTGAAAATCTCCATCTACACCCAATATTTTTGCATATTTATTTAATGGAAAGTTCACAAATTTGTTTAATTTCATATTCTTACCTTTGCCGTCCCTGTCAGCAAATAAAACACAGTACTTACAAAATAAACCTCCTTTTGCAGTTGAATAATGAAGCCAATTAAATTGTTCAAAATGTGTTCGTTTTGTTAGTGAATGAGTGTTTAAACATTGCTCAAAATGATCATTAATTTAATTAATAAGATATATATTTAGCCCGGGGTAGACGTAATACTTAAACAAAATGTCAATACGATACGGGTACTGCACCAGTGCGGCAGTGCACCACTACCCGCCCAAACCCCACTACGTGGTGATAAGGTACCAGCAGTGTATATTAGGTATTTATTCTTAGAAATTTGTTTTCCTGAAGCTAACCAGCCAGCAGCGACCTATCTAATAGCTGGGTTTAGACGGAGATGATTAAGCAGAGTTTTGGAACGTGCCGGTCCATCCCGTGTAATATTGGAGAGGATGGAACGAGACGTTCCATCATCTGGTATTTAAAAATTAACCAAATGACTATCACGCGTGATAGGACCGCACAAGATTTTTCCACACGATTGATTGTACATGACAATCATTTGCTAATTTTAACTACCAAATGATATCACTCGCGATGGAACGAGCATTTGTAACGTGAAAGGACAAAACTGTCCATGTGAATGAGGTTTACACATGATTATATAAATGATCGAGTGTCCTCCAGTCATTTTAAAAATTAGACCACTTTCCTCTGAAAATTCAACTGAGCACGTGCGTTTATTTTATATACGTATGCGTTATTATATTTTTTTACTCAAATTAAGCTGTTCGAGTGTAGAGAGAAATATAATAGTTTATAATGTCATCTATAAGAAGAAAGAAAACAGTGCTAGGATATGCCGGTGTTTATTATCATTATTATAGTTAACAAAAAGGGTAAGATCATATTAAAATCATCATAAAGTAATCAATCAGAATCTGAATATTATTGAGTCAGGAATACTAATCAGGTACCAAGTATTGTAGTATAATAACACATATTTTACAGGTAGGTACTTGAACTTCCATTGATTATTATTTGAATTATGAATATTTATGATTATAAATAATATTATTTTTAATAGTGGTTACTACCTACCCATATCTTAATAAATATTAAATAAAAATGAATTTACTATGATGTGACTAATAATAGGTATTCTAATAATATCTATTATAATCTATTTACATTAGTTTTATAGGTATAAGAAGTAGGTATTAAATTAAAAAAACATACCTCAACTGTAGTTAAATTTTCATCATGAATCTTTTCATTAATATTTTCACTCAATTCATTTTCTTGGACATTTTCTGAGACGGAGAAGTCATTTTCTTCATCACTTATATTAGAAGAACTTTCCTCTGGCATTTCTTGTTCTTTAGTGAATATAAGTTGGTTATAGTACCATAACGATGGAATATGAACAGTATCAGCCGATGAACCACGTTTATTTTTAGTTTCATAGCATTTGTTGAACTCTTTTCTGAATGACCCACGTAAGCTTTGGATTCTGCTTACGATCCATGCCCTGTTTGCTTCTGGGTAGACTGTTTTTGAAAAGTCTGTCAGCCGATCGTAAGCAATGGTTTTGAGATTTCTGTTTGTGTACACTTTTCTGTCTTTTATTTTCCATAGACATGGTTCCTCGCGATAAATGTTTATAAATTCTGTTAAAAATTCTTTTGTCCAGTTCCTAATGTCTGACATAATTACTATATCGTGATCACCAAATCAATCAAAATAAAAATTACACTGAAAACCCACTTTATTATTCCTAACTTACTTAATTAATATAAGCAAATACTTTACTTTATCATGAGCGATAAACGATATACGATAAACGATAAACGAACTAACAAAGTCTGAGTCATGAAGAATCAAAAGAATTCAAGACATACCTTGATTCTAGAATAATAATCTTTGTCCACAGACCTGTGATGAAGATAGTAATTAGTATTATAACATAATTATTTTGATAATAATTATAAATAACAATATAATATTTAATTATACATTATCAGCATTATCCACTATACATCAACGAATTGGCGGGAAATACATATTTGATAACAACACAATTGCGGGAAATGTATTGATAATACCATAGAACAATATATATTATCATTAATATTATATCATTAATTAATATTCATTGTATATATTTTAATCAATGATATTACATAGGCCCATCGAGGTAAATAAACTATACTATAGTATATAGGCATATAGCTTATATCAAGGTGGATATATATATATATATATATATATATATATATATATAATATATATCCACCTTGGCTTATATACCTCGATGCATAGGCCATAGCACAGATAATAATAATCTTTATTATCTATGGGCCATAGGGTTCTTTTTTAGTGTACCTACACAGTACACGATAAGTATTTTTTCAGTTCAATAAAATTTCAAAATACCAACTGGCAACCAGTTTGCAGTAATATATTAATAGGTATTATAACTAAATGGCACTTATAGATCATTTTTACCTATTAATCACAAGCAGCTTCCGTTACGACTCTAAGGGGTGTACTCATTTTAGAATTTCCAGAGCATCCCCTAATAAGAAAACCTAGAAACTTTTTTTACGAGTAAAGCAATATCAATGGGACGAAGATTACAAACAAGCACTATAGCGAAGTCAAAACCAATGGTACTGATTTGTACCAACAATTCGTTATGCGGAGGATCATAAGCACGTCTTTATACAACCCCTAATTATATTTAATGATAACTCCGGAAGTAGTAGAGTATTAAATACTAATGTGTACAGTGGCGTAGCCAGACGGGGTTTTGGGTGTTTAAGCCCCCCCCCCCCTTTGATATTTTTTCCTCTTCCTCTAATAAATGTATTACTAATATACGAAAATGTTAAAAACTTTGTTAAATTTATACTAAACCCCCCTCCATTTCAAAATCCTGGCTACGACACTGAATGTGTACATGGTAAACATGGTACAGACGTACAGTAGCAAACAGTAGCAAACAATAACAGTGGCAAACAGTAGCCAAGTGGTGCCTCCCTGAAAGCACTGCAGATTTTATTAAAAGGATGGACTGTGTGTTTAAACGCTCCCACTGGTAGCAAAGGATGGCCTGTCCTGTCTGTTTTTTTTTGAAAGATAGAAGCAAACGACGAATCATTTAGACACACAATCTATCACTTGCATTTGTCATTTACTTAAAAATCTATAATTTTATAAATCATTTACTAAATCATTTGCTTGTATTTACACACAAGGTTTTAAATACACGAGATGGAACGGCACGTTCTAAAACTCTGCTTAATCATCTCCGTCTAAATCCAGCTATTGCCTTAATGCCTTCACGATAATCATTAGGATTTACGACAACGATCTAACCTAAAATCGCTTATCGGTGATATCATGTGAAAAAGATTTGACAAATTCTATTAACATTGATGAAGCGATAGATAAGTTAGCGTTAACAAGTGATGTAATGAAGAAGTCATTACTTTTTAAATAATTAAATATTATTTGTTAAACATTTTATGTATGCATAAATGTTATTTTAGATTCTGAGCGGAGCGATGAATGTATTGGTTTTACAATGATGTATGTTTTTATATTTATTTTTTTTGTGTCTGTGTACACGATAATTAGTCGAAATAATGCTTCGATTTTCGACTTCAGTATCTTGTTCGATTGGAAAGTGAATATCGTTGGTGCATTGGGGAGGTCAAAATTTAAATTTCCCAGTAGTTTTCAAGAGCGCCGGGAAAAACAACATAAAAATTAAGGAAAAACGGGAATTTTTACGCAAAATCGGTTTTCCAAAAAATCGATTTTGGTTTTTGGTGTAACTTTAAAACAAATAACCGTAGATACATGAAATTTTCAGTGGTTGTTTATATTTGAATTTTCTATATACGATAACATTTTCAAAATATTTTGATTTATTTTGAACTGTTTAGGGACATTTTCATTTTTCATTTTTTTTTAGTTTATTTTCTAGAAATATCGATAAAATTTTATTTGTTGGTTAAAAAAACTTGAAAATT